GAGTGAAATGGCAACGTGCTACTGAAGCCATATATTCCACTGGAATCCTAAAGGACTAATAATAATAATAACAATGATAAACGTACTAACATAGCACTCACACGTTTTTTCTTAGGACATTCAAAAAGCTTTAACCTTCTTCCAGTATCTTTAACTAATAAGATCATATTTATTATCAGTTTGACCAGGAGTGGCTTGGTAGACTTTTTTTATTGATATTGAGTGACAATTGAAGGTGAAGTGAAAATCTTGGTCACCACAGGACTCGAACCATCGGTCTCCGGGGTTACTGGCCCGATGCTGCACCAACTGAGCTATGACATTCAATCACCATGGGGTTTTGCCCGACTCCCATGTAAATTCGTATCAATAAAACAAGATCATATTTGCCTTATATATAGAGTTAAGAGGAAAAGGTTATAGTGGTTGGAAGATTAGAGTCTGTTATAAAGAATGAAGTTGGCGGAAAAAATAAGTAATAGTAAGTTTAGAACCAGTAGTCTCTAAGATTACGGATCTGGTTGGCTTTCTGCCAAGTGAGATATGAAACCAACTGATAACCACGTCTACGTGTTATTTCGAGCATAAATATTTCATCAATTCAAGCAATAATCATTTGCCGTCTCCCTCTCTCTCTCCTTTCTACCCTTATCATTTGTTTAATCAATAAGGAAATAAATTATTATTCAGTACATAAGGAGATAAATAAATAAATTACACTGTAAAGCGTCAGAAACGCCAACTATACAGATAAATAAGTGGTAAACTTCACACCTGTTCCCATTTTCTCCCCATGTACAAGCTCACTATTTTTGCTTTCCTGACACCGTCTTTACTAGTGGTGGTGTTAACCAGTTGTTTGGTTAGTCAGTTATGAGGTCAAGAGAAGTGTAGGTAAACCAGTTGTAACAAGATAAACAACGAAAACGGGGTATTGAACACACACACACACAAAATCAAAAGAAGAGATAAAGGCAGATTCACTGTAGAACAACGTATGATTCACTCCCTGATTCATTCGAGAAATATTGAAATTCTTCTGTATATTATGTGCATAAATGCATATTTGCCGACTCCACTTGTGTGGCCATAAGGAGATGCATTTTTGTGTAATAAATGCATGTAAACAGAAAAATGATGAATTTATATTCAAGGCATATTTATTTCGATACTTTTAACCTTTAAACATTACTAGTTTATTTGTAAAGTCGAGAAAATGTGTGCAAATTATAGACAGTACAGTAAAGAGAAAACTGGATTGAAAATAAGTATTCCATAAATAAATAATGGATAACGCAATGGACTAGAAAGCGTAAAGGATTGCCCTGGCTCTGGTGTTTGAATCGACTAGTCTTAGGTTCGAATCTCGATAGGAACAAGATCACTAACTCGGATACAGGCACATTCAGCTGACGAGTCCCAAACGCGACGAAATGTGCTTTCTGGATACCACTGCTAGCCACTATCCATTATTACTTAGTGATAGTACTACTGAGATGAATACCCAAGCATATTGTAATATCTTGTGTTTTTGATAGTGACTAAATTTCAACATTATAGTTAGCAATATAACATCTTGGTACAATATGTTTCACATTGTACGCTTTGGAATAGTTGACAAGATGATTAACTGAAATCACATTTGGTGTTTGTCAGTGGGAGTCATCAAAGCTTCACACACATCATCTGTGGCACTCCAAATAAAGACATTATCATTCCAGTTCAAGTATATCACTGGAAACATCTCTAACTTCAATATTGAGTAATACATATTCAGATCTTGTATGTGAAAGGAATCTTCAGTAAAAATGAGTCTTCAGTGAGTATTAATGACTCGTTTCACGGGAAATATCTCAGCAGTAATAAATTCTACAGTCTGACCGAGTGAAAAATAACAGATAGTACTATTTTGAGGTTTGTGGAAATTTATCTATTGATTTAAGGTGGTATTCGTCATGGACTGACATCAGTTGGAGGAACAGTAAATTACTATTCCGTTCCACTATGGGACTCCTCAGCAGTGCACACTCACCACCCTACCACAGATCGAATCCAGGGTTTCAGGTCCCGTGGACAGCAAGTTACCATTGACCTGCTAGGTCGGAATCCAATCATCCACATTTCCTACTTCTGTCAGTTCACGATATAGCTGGGATTCCATTCAATACCATCGTCGAGTAAGTGTCATCATGTTCGACGTGGTTAGCCCTACTGGTCGCGATTTCTCGTAGGAACTTCAGGAATCACCTATCGAAGCTAGTCACCAATGAGAACTAGATTCATTTAATTTCGAGGTTTGTGAAGATTTACTGATTTCAGGTTGTTATTCCTCATGGACTGACATCAGTTGGAGGAACATTGGAAACCTGGTAGCACTACATAGATCATTTGTAAGTATAATTAGACAAGTAGTATCAGACAAAAGGATTGCAGGATTAAAGTATTTCACAACTTTTCCATACAGAATGAAATCTGTCGGAGAAGTGGTGGTACTGGACTCGATCCCTTGCAGGATCATAGGTGCTCACTTCTGGGAGGGTTCCTAACTTAATTAAAATAGGTTTCCGACGGTTCCCCAACTGATATCAATCTGTAATAAAACTTCCTTGAGATCAATCTAATCACGTAAATCATCAACTGACTTGCTTGAGAAGCTTATAGTCATCTTTCCAACCAGGACTGATTTCAAGCCGCAAATATTTAGGGTGAAAATCAGACATCCGTAATCCTTTACTTTCATAAGCCGTCTAACTGATATCAGATCTATTCAATGAAAAATGACTCTCAATCTAGATTGTTTGAAAATATTCATACGATTGTTTTGTAGTAAAACTGAGATTACTAAATGAAACGCCAGCTGTTAACTCTTACTTGACTATCCGTGCAAAACTAAGGGGAGGATTATTAAGTTGATTTAATTAGTAGCATGATTTGAGGATGGTTTAGTTAGTAACGATAATGACTTGGGAAGAGAACGAATTCTGAAGAGAGTTCAAAGTGTGTCTAGACATCTCAAATGCTTAAGATACCCTATACTACCTTTATACTAATCAACAAGCCAAGGAATGTAATCAAACTTCGCTTCATGAAAACCTAGCTAAACCACATTATTGATCCTTTCTCATTATGGGTGTGCAGATACCAACTAAATATATGAGACGCCTGGGATAACAGGTAGCTTTAATCGGATCTAGGAACAGTCTACTATGGTATCTGCATCCTAAGTTCTGATTTGAAACCGGTGACCGAATGTTATCCTGTTAGACTTTCAGTGCTAATCAGCAGAAAACTTTAGACTTCGACTTACATACTAGTTAACACTCATCATCAAGACATTCATAACAACGGAAGAATGTTAAAGACTTTAGATGTGGATCTGAATGGCACGGGCTCAAACCTATGAGGGAATATCAACTTCATGCTTGGTGATACGCACAACCGGCCAGTTGCCAACTATCTCCCAAACTTACGAGAAAAATTGGACATTCAGTTGGTTGACTCTAAATGGCTGGAAAAACAAATAGCACTGCCAAACAGCAATATCTAGCTCAGTATTCATGCTGTGCACCTGATCGCAATTTACGACTTCAAAAATGCATCAGTTACCAGCTCTGGAGATAAAACTTTATGAATGTTATCCTATTGTGAAATACACTGGACGACGTCAGTTTCCCGTCTTCTTTTCTGCTGACTAAAAGATAGTTTGAGGGCATTTACACTACTTTAGTTTCATTTTATATTGCATAATTTGGAACTCAAATGGGAAATGATGAGTTGGGCATCCGAGGGCGACATGGAGGAGATCGTGTGAGAAAGAAATGAAAGCTTATGGGCAGTCATGGAGCTAGGTTAAAAAGATTGCAAAGAAGAGAGTGAAATGGCGACATGCTACTGAAACCCTATGTTCCACTAGGAACCTAATGGACAAACAAAATAAACATATAAAATTAAAACGATATATTTCTTTAAAACAACTTGCAGGCCAAGAAATGCATACTTTCATCAATATCTATATATATAACTGAAAAGTATGAGTATTTAGAAACCATTCACGTTGATCTAGAGATTTCGCTAGCTCGATAAGAGTGATTTAATTTGCTAGACAGCCACTTTGTTCTTTCTAGATAGACCTCATCAGTGGTGTATTAAGACAAATCCAGCTCACTGTATTGAATCCTTTGGATCAAATGAATTTGTATAGGTGATTCGATTCATTTGCTAGATTTCACTGACTAGAAGTCAAAATTAGGAGGCGCATTTCATCCTGTTAGGGACTCATCAGCTGGACGTACCTGTCCCACCCCAGAGGAAGATGCTGTTCCTGCTGAGACTCAAACCTCATACCCATAGCTTCGAACGCGAAGGCGTTACCCACCAGGCCGCTGCGGTACGAGAGGCAGTCTTTGTGCGATGGGTATAGCATAGTTTTCTATGTTGTGGCTATCGTGACTCAGTGGTTTGGTGGATAACTCTGTGGCGTTTGAAGCTATTGGTTCTGGGTTCGAGTCCTACTGGGAACGACATCATTTACTGAGAGGCAGGTACATCCAGTCAAAGAGCCCCAGAAAGGACGAAACTCACGTTCTGCTTTCCCCCACTAGCCATTATCTATCATCAATATCAAGTATGAAGGTATAAGCAATTCCGAGGTATCGACACAGGAGCCCATATGTCAATAGTGGTCGATCAGTTCGGTCCAATCAACGACGGAGATTCACAAGCTATAACATTAAATATTCCCGGTGTTTTCAAAAAATTGATCATTAAGACGCGCTTACATCTTTCTTTTTTTGTTACTTATTGTTTTTAGTCCTAGGTTACTTTTAACAGGACAGAAAAAGTTGAAATGAAAAAGCCTCATTACTTTTCTCTGTAAATTCTGCAGTTTTGGTTGTGAAGTACGTATTTAAGAGATTAATTTGCATACACTAATAATAATAATAATAATAATAATAATAATAATAATAATAACAATAGTAATAATAATAATAATAACTCACTCTTCAGCTTCTACAGAATTAGCTTGAGCTAAATAGGATGACGGAATGTAACCAACTTGTCCACAGTGTTCAACCAACCACCATTCAGAATCACTAAAAGATGTAAACAGAAAATTAAGCAATGAATATCTTTGTACTACTCATATTAGTGCATCTACATATTTAATTAATATATTAACCTTAGATTGGAGTTCATTATGGACTGACATCAGTTGGAGGAACAGCGGAAACCTGGGAGCACTTGACAACTGCCTCGTCCATATATGGGACTCCTCAATAGTGTTCGCCTATGACTCCCCTAGCCAGGGATCGAGCCCACAGCCTTCAGGTTCCGTGATCAACCCGTTATCATTGAGCCACTGAGTTGGAATCTAATGGTCCATATTTCCAACTTCTCTCAGATCATGACTCATCACGACCTATATTCAATATCATCGTTGAGTAACTGTCTTCACGTTTGACTTGGTTGAATCCTCTGGTCACGACTTTTCATTGGAACTTCAAGAACCACCTGTCAAAGCTAGCCACCAATGAGCGCTAGATCAATTCTATCTGGATGTAGGTCACGCTATGCTGTGAACTGACAGAAGTAAAAAATACGGATTATTGGATTCCAACGCAGTGGCTCAATGGTAACGTGCTGGCCACGGATTCTGAAGGTCCTGGACTCGATCCCTGGTGAGACGGGATCCTGGGAAGTCCCAGACTAGGACGAAAAAGCTGTCTAGCAGTCCAAGGTTTCCACTGTTCCTCCGACTAATGTCAGTTCATGATGGATTCCAACCTAAAATCAATTAATAAACTTCTACAACCCTCAGATAGAATTAATGTATTCATTTCTAAGTGAATTCGTAGAATGAATATACATGTTCTTTTGTACATTAAACGTGTAAACAAAAGATGGGGAACATTTGATGTAAATCTTGTTCAGATGAAAAAGAAAATCGTATGATAAATTAGTTTAAATACAATTCCTATAGGTATGATGAGTGCAGGTAGTATTAAACCTGCCTGAATTCAAACCTATTAAAATTAGTGTTGATCTTTTTTCGGTATTTGTTTATGAATTATTCACCTTGTAGGTGGTCTTGAAACGATGGAAAAGATTTGTAGCTCATGATGAGGATAATGATGGTTTGGTGTTCTCTGACCTTTGATATTTTGTCATAAACGTTTCATCGCTAGGCTTAGTGACATATTCAACACTAACTTCATAAAAAGTTCATGAAAAAAATATCAAAGCTTAGAAAAAATCAAACCATCATCGTTTAGTAGGTCATTTTCACCAGAGACTAACATCGGCTGCTACATAACCAGTAGAGAACAAGATGAATTTGAGAATTATTTTGTCCGGGTTTTAGACTCTTCAACAATAAGTTTTGTAACATGACGATATAATTGGAAACCGAATTGTGATCAGGCAGAGCATAACAACAGAAATGAGTAGCAAATTACTTAAGAAGTGAATAGTGTCAAAACAGAAGAAGAAAAAGAAAAATGGAGGATAGAGGAGACTGAAAACAAAAACAATGAAAGTAGAAGGGGTTGAACAATCTTCTTTTACGTACACAATTCAGGTTTCTCCATATGGATGGCAAGAACTTCAGTGATGCAGAGAATACGAAGACATACAGCCTTTAGAAGATTTCTTTTTACTTTATAGATGAGTTGGAACGAGAAGGTTCTTGAGACAGGGTGATTTTTATGTTCACGATATGTTCAATTATAGCACTACTTATCGCTCCATTGTTACATCTTTGTAACCACGCAGGATAGTGTTCTTGAACCTTTTTTGCATAACAATCGCATCTATTGACCTATATACCTGGCTCCATAAGAGTAGGTGAATTGATATATGCACATAGCAGCAGTATGCAACTGTGACAAGATATGGAATCGAACGCAGGACTGTTGAGTCATCTACAGGCACATTACCATCAAGTGACTATTATGGAAAGAAATGATTTAAAATTTTCGGTTCCTATAAGTTCTAAGGTATTCCTGGTAGGTGTAAGTAGATGATGAAGATTGTCTTGAAATTTACTAAGGCTGAGGCAAGCACTAAAAATCTTTTATCCGATAAGTAGATTGACTTAGACTCTTATTCTTTCTTCTGTTTAACGCATCAACATAAGTGTATTTATCATATCGATATGGAGTAAGGACTTCCAAAGGAAAAGTAGATACACTCAGAATAAGCAATAACAAATCATTGAGGCATTGGATCAGAGTTCAATGGTCCATATTTTCCTACTTCCATTGAATCACGATATAGTCCAACCTCTATCCAATGTCATTGTTGAGTATTTATTCTCATGTTCACTCTGGTTTATTCCACCAGTTACGACTTCTTATTGGAGCTTTAGGAAATTTCACCTCAAAGCAAGTTACTACTGAACACCGAATTTGGAAGTTTGTGGGGATTTATTCGTTAAGGTCCATCATGGACTGACATTAGTTACAGAACCATTGAAAACCTGGGAGTAATGAACATCTGTTTCATCACTTCCGTTACATTATAACATCACCTCAACTTGAACAAGCACAGCATATAACTTCCCGAAAGTATTAAAGTATTTTACGATCAGCATAGAAGCAAGCTAATAATCCATACCTTTAAAGGGTTTTACAATGATTACTATTCAAAAAAAGGGAAATAAGGACTGGTGAGGACTAAACTGAAGCCAATGAGCAGACAAGTAGGTATTTTCCTGTCATATAAATTTTGATTCAATTCAGATATCTTGTAGTAGTGTGTAAAAACGATACTACTATGCATGTTGAGGAGGTTGGAAAACGATTGAAAACCTGGGTGAACTGGTCTGTTGTTTCTTCTTCCTAGTTTCAGACTTCGCCTCCACAGACAACCACCATTTAAATTTTCATAAATAATACTGAAGATGTTTTTCTTATTTTCTCTAACCCTTCCTAGAATAAAAGTCGAATACAGAACTTTCTGCTAACAATAACTTGTAAACTGAATATTGAATATCTATCTTAATTAAAAAATAACCATATGAAGATTATTTAGAAACAAAATCATTTTCAAATTATTCATTTAGGATCATTTCGACAAAAAAATTCTTAGAATCACAAGACAGGTGTCATAAAGTAACAACATATTGGAGTTAGTTACTGTTTCGTAGTGGTTCAGCTAGTAAAGCGGAGTAAATGTATCACCTATACTTCATGCATGCTTGAAATATACACACTTTTGTTGATACAGGGAAGAGGGCAGGGGACTCATTTATCCGTACGACCGTGAGTACTATACCTGTTCTACTTTATGGCTGTGAAACATGGCCATTAAAGGCGGAAGATGTGGGAAAGTTTCAGGTGTTTGACCATCGCTGCCTTCGTAGCATAGGCCGTTTCTAGTGGTGTCACCATGTGAGTAACACAGAAATTAGGCGTAGAGTTCTAGGCAGGAGAGGTAAGTCAGTTCATGCGGTTTTGAACATTCATCAACTGAGGTGGCTGGGATATGTGTTACGTATGTCTAGCCACCGTTTGTCTCGTCACATAATGTTGGCCGAAGCAGATTCAGGCTGGAAATAGGCCTGAGGCGACCAGACTAAAACACGGCATCAATGTATGAAGTCCTTGATTGTTTGGTTGAGCCATGTAGGACGATGCAGACTAACCGGTTCGGGTCCGCTGGACAAGTCAAACCAGTGGTTGGAGACTCTAGGTGATATGGCTCAGAACCGAGGTCAGTGGTATAGGTGCTTACACATATTACTTAATCTCACTATCTTTCCATTCTTCCTTCTTTTCTCTTACCACTTTCTAATTCTACCTCCTTTGACTGGTTTTGATTTCTTTCTGGGAGCTAACAGAAGTTGGAAATATGGACCACAGGATTCTGATCCAGTGGCTCAATGTCAACGTGCTGGCTACGGGACCTGAAGGTCACGGGTTCGATCCCTCGTGGGGTTGTGGGTGCGCACCGCTGAGGAGTTCCACACTAGGACGAAACAGCTGTCCAGTGCCCCCAGGCTTCCTTCATTCCTCCAAATGATGTCAGTCTGCGATGAATAACAACTTGGGAGACAACTGGTTAGTCAATATTTCCTTAAAGTTTAAATGATGCCAAAGAAGGTTATATTTTTTAAGGTTTACCCCAAGTAGTCATGAAGTAATAAAGTTTTCAAGCCAAATTTATTTATTTCATTTAGAAAAAAGTAACTAGTTTTAATAAAAAAATTGTAAAGCTATTAGAATAAAATTGTTTATATTTTATAGTGTTCTAATGATGTTGTATGAAGTGAAACAATGGTAAGTAAGGTAGTAACTTTCTATAGCTGAAAGCCATATCGAACTGACAGTACATCAAAGAATTTTGGCAAAAAATGTAATGCCTTTATTTATTCCAAACTGAACTTCACTGCATAATCATGCAAAAGTAGTTGATTTATCTTATTATTTTGAGATTGAAGTGAGGACATTTAATCTAGAGAAACAGATGTTCAACGAAAGTGTACTAGTTCAAATTGCCACATCCTATCACAGCACAAGAAAACAAAGTAGACAAAAACAGAATAGCGATAAAATACAAATGAAAATAAATAATAATAATAATGAATGGTGGCTAGCAGTAGAATCCAGGATGCACGTTCTATCCTACTTGAGACTCGTTAGCTGGATGTACCTGGAATCGAGTCGAAATGGACTCCATCAACCTTGTGCATATTCGTGCAGCAGACAATGAGCCACACCTATAGTGTGGGGGTTAATGATACTATCCGGCTGCCCAAACCTCGATAGGTGGGGTGGGGTTCGAACTGATGACCCATCGGTTGAGAGTCATCTCCCTAAACCAATGAGCCGCAGCTCAACTGGATACATCTGCTTCCCTGTGAGTGGTTTTGTTCCCAGTACAAATCGTTTCGAACGCCAAAGAGTTTTCCCCCAGACCAATGAGTCACGATAGACACTCCTCATGAGATGGGTATAGCTTGTATGATATTGCTCGTAATTTACCGTCGATGATTGGACTGAACCGATCGATATCTCTTGGCGTAAAGAGTCGTGTGCAGTGCCTCACCATTGCCAGTAGTTCCATTTTAATAGTAATGATAGATAGTAGTTGG